TACTTAGGACCTATGCAATGTTCAGCTTGAAATGTCATGTAAACCAAGCGTTATATATGTTCCAAGGTGGGAGTGGTAATACCGAAATCGAAAGCGAAATTTGAGAACGACGATATTAAAATCACTCGAGTCTAATACCATAGAGGTAACTCTAAGACTAGAAGGTCCCGAAAAAACGTGTTCAACTTTTTGGCTCAGCTCTGGTACTCTCTTCGGTCCCAAGCTAATCGATGCACCCCTCGAAACATAGGAAAATCCACGAACCCCTCATTTTATCTGTCAAACTTTCATAACGAATCAAAACAAACATAGTGTAGTACTAGAATTTCGACTAGAATGGGGTACGTTAATCGATTTGCTTGAGACCAATAGGCTAGTCAAGTAGTGAGCCAATTTTAAAATTTTCCAAATGATTTTCATCCCTAAACAAAAGTAATGGAATTCATCTGAATTTCACATAACATTTTGCGATCACGTTAATTTTATATGATTTTTCATATGAATTTCATCGGCCTCATAATATTCATGTGATTTTGTGGTGGGATTTTTAGCTATGTGATCAGATGAAAGCTATGTGAAATTCACATGATTTTCATCCATTAGATATGTGATAATTTTTTTGAGTGTAGGATTTCCAATGAATCATTGCAAGACAGCCTATATTACATGAAATAAGTGTTGATATAAGTCATAGTCTGTACGGGGTATAAATGAAGAAAAAATTGTTCTCGAAATATTTGCGTGGGTTGAAAAATTCGAAAGTGAGCATGCATTCAGAAGATCTGCCAATTTTCCTAAAAATCTACAAAGTTCTTGAATCTTCGAAGATGTAAGATCCTTAAAGATCAAAAATTATCTCTGATGTTTACATAATTTCTAATAATCTACAAACTTCTCGAAAGTTCTGTAATTTTCTCTGTAGATTTTCATGATTCAATTAATATCTGCAAATATCTCTGAACATCTACACGATTTCCTAAAGAATTAAAATATTATCTAGAAATTTTTGAGCTTTCCGGAAGCTTTAGGAAGTTTTCTGAAGTTTTACTAATTTTTCTGAAATTGTGCAAATATCTCTAAAGATCAGCAAACTTACTTGAAGCTCTGTGAATTTCTCTTCAAATCCAAGAAACGCAATAAAAATTATTTAAACATCTGCAGATGTTTCAGTAGATTTACGATCTACCCTCTGAACTTTTCTAAAGTTTCTAAAATTTCATTCAAAAAAAAAAGGTGTAAATACTTCTAAAGATCGGCGAACTTTCCCGAAGTTCTGTAAGTTTGCCGAAGGTTTTGCAATTTTTTTTCTAAAAACGTACGAACTTTCTGACGTTCTACAGACTTCTCTGAAGTTCTTCAGATCTATCTATTTCCAACTTCCATTGAGTTCTGCAAAATCTTGAACTTTTGTACTTCGCTGCGATTTGTTTTTGGAATTGAGGTACTTTTCTGACATTTAACGAATTTTTCATGATCTCACATTTTTCTGACTTAAAAAAAGAACTCACATCTGAAAAATTCTTGCAAATATCTGTAAAGTTCTGTAAAGTTGTCTGAAGCTCCGTAGTTCTATTCTCAAGATCTACGAAAAAAAAACCTTGAGGCTCAATAAAGTTCTCAGTAGATCTGCAAACTTCTCCGAAGTTTTGTAAATTCCTCTATAGGCTCTCGGGCTACCCTGAAGATTTGAAAATTTCCCTGAAGATCTTCTAAATTACCTTAAGTTCTCAAAATTAATCTGAAAATATTTGAGCTTCCTTGAAGTTTTAAATGTCTCTCTCAAGATCTACAAATTTCCCTGAAATCGTATAAAAAAATTTTCAAATCGCCGCTCTTCCCTGAAGTTCTACAAATTTTACTGAAGATCCATCTGAGATTCTAAAAATGTATCAGAAAATCTGCACACTTTCTTGAAGGTCTTAAAATTTATCTGAAGATCTATGACCATTCTTCTGGGGATGCGACACATCTAAATCTCAATTTTAGGTGGTTGAAAAATCTCACACAAGCGAATCACGAACATCTTTTTTCATCTCTTGCATCTAAAGCCATCTACTCACATCGCTTTCCACCTTTTTGCAGGAAATCTTTAAAATCTTCATCAATCTTTTGTTCTATCTACTAAGCGTGAGCGTATCTCACAACAGCAAACAATTTTTTTCCAGCATCGTAGATAGAGTCGCCCCCTTGCCATTGTTGTGATTTTTTCAGAAGTTCTGTAATTTTTTTTTTAAGTTCTGTAGCTATGTTCTGAAGATCTACGAACTTTTCTGATGTTAAATAATTTTTCAGTAGATCTCCAAACTTCTGTGTGATACTTTATATTTCACTGTAGATTCTTGGACTTGTCTGAAGTTATGCGTATTTCCCTGAAGATTTGCAAAATTTCGCTTAAAGTTTTACAAATTGATCTGAATTTTTTTAGCTTGCTTGAAGTTTTGATAATTTCTTTGAACATTTATCTGATGATCTTGTGATTTATTTATGAATTTCTGCAAATTTCTTTTAATTTCTGTAAAATTTTATGAAGTTTTGTAGTTCTGTTGTTAAGATCTACGAACTACCCTGAAGCTCAACAAATTTCTCAGTAGAGCTCCGAACCTCTCTGAAGCTCTAAAAAAATTCTTAGTAGGCTCTCAGACCTGCTGTCTGGCATGCTTGTTCTTATACAATACATGCTTCGTATTATATAAACACTGTTTTGTTGACCATGCCATGATCAAAGTCATTACGGCATCTTTCGGCCAATCACACTGGAAATAAAAATCAGTCAAACCATACACAGAACATTATTGAATAGTGAAATCCTTAAAATATTTGTACTAAGAAACCGAACACCCTATTTAATATTTTGAATTATTGGACGTACAATTGTAAAGGTGGCTTGCCCCTCCTAATAAACAAATACCATAAATGAACTGTATCCCGGATAGGTAAACTATCCCACAAATGGTTTGGATGATACCCCGAACACGTCGTTAAGCTCTCTTTTATGGTTATTTTTATTAGGGCCACCAGACCCTACATTTACAAGAATTGCTCAGTCTGCGTGACGCAGCCAATTTAATCAAGGAAATACCATTAACAACCAAGAATTAATCGTTTGAGGCTTACTGAAGGGTCATATAGGTGATATTTTCCACTGAAGAAGATTATAATATTTGAAAATATTTTAAGATCTATAATCCTTCACTTTAGCAACGTCAACCCCCATGACCATAATATCTTGCTGGCCAAGCTGGAGATACTTGGCATCTCGTCAACTGCTGTGGATTGGTTCAGATCTTACTTGGTGAATCGCTATGTACATGTCAAGATTGGCGCGTCGGAATCGGATATTTCTCAAACAACTCGGGAGTCCCGCAAGGCAGTAAGCTAGGACCGCTACTATTTTCGATCTTTTTAAACGACGTCGCCTTGCTGATACCATCAGGATGCCGCGTTTTCTATGCAGACGATACGAAAATCTACAAAATTATTAAAAGCCTCTCGGACTGCTGGGATCTCCAGAATATGTTAAGTATTTTTGCTGACTGGTGCTCAAGAAATTTGATGAGTCTAAGCATAGAAAAATGTAACATTATTTCCTATCACCGAAAAATCGAACCAATCATGTTTGACTATGTTCTCTACGGACGCTGTCTTGCTCGTGTAGAGCACATAAAGGATCTCGGCGTTACCTTGGACTGCAGACTCACTTTCAGAATCAACTACAATGACATCATCTCCAGAGCTAATCGACAATTGGGCTTTATTTTTAAAATTGCCGACGAGTTTCGTGACCCGCTATGCCTCAGGTCACTTTACTGCTCGCTTGTGCGATCCTTATTGGAGTTAAGTTCAGTTGTTTGGTGCCCTTTCCATGCTAGCTGGATCACTAGAATTGAATCCGTTCAACGCAAGTTTGTGAGATATGCTCTTCGTTTCCTCAACTGGCGTGACCCAACGAACCTGCCACCGTACGAGGAGCGTTGCCGTCTCCTGGGAATCGAGCCATTAGAGGTGAGACGGACGGTCGCTCAAGCTATGTTCGCTGGAAAGCTGCTTACAGGTGACATTGACTGTCCAACACTGCTGTCACAGCTAAATATGTATGCCCCTGAGAGGTCTCTTCGTCAACGCGACTTTCTGTTTTTGGAACCACGGAGCCGGAATTATACACAACACGAGCCAATTCGAGCAATCAGCCGGCAATTCAACAACTTTTTTTATATGTTCGACTTCAAATGTATCAGCTGACGTGTTTCGTCATCGGCTACTTGGCCTTTTCCGTACCGTTGACCATAACTATTTAGTTTAAGTTTTATTCATTTAGACAATAATTGTCAGTTGAATTTTTAAATAAATAAATAAAAAAAAATGTCCAGCGGGAGGGAAATCTTAAAAAGAGAGTATTAAGATTAAAATAACACATACAATGAATACATCAACCGTTTGCCTTAGGTTCACTGTTAGCCCCAGCGTTTGGTAAGGAAATGTTAGGCTGATTAGGATCCAACAAAACTAGGAAGAAAACAAGGCTTGGCAACTGGCAGGATTGCGAGAGGTTGGTGTTTGATGTTTCTTTGAATTGACAACATGTGCTTTCAATATCTTTGACGGGTGCAACGTAGCCACAACATGCGATTTAATACGAGGATCTGTTGAAAAAAGTAGTATTATTAATACTTTTACCAGAAATTAGTTTAATCAGTTGATATTGTATCATATATGTTTCCTGAAATGTTAAAGGAGAATGTACACCGGTTTAGGGGGAAATTCTGGGAAATGCAATGGGTTTCAACATTATTTTTCCAATGATGGATGACATTTAAGCTTAATTAATCAAAAGTGGAGGTTTACACATAAATGTATTCGTCTGGTCTAGTTTTTTCTCCGCGAGTTCCTGAGGTTTATTTTAAATGTTTAATTGGGATCAGATCGATCGTATATGGCAAGGAATCACAATAAGAAAAAGATGCAGCGGCTGAATGCAAGGATGTCATCTTAAATTACATAGATTTTAATCCAGGGATAAGCCAGCATTTATTTACGACGCACATGTACCATAGTCGCGTCCTAAACCATTTCAATCTTTGAAAGACCTGTGTATGGCGAAGGTTTCTTTAGAATAGAGAACAGACAAGAAAGAGAAAAAGCCATCAAGCAGACAGAGAGAAAGATCAGAGAATTAGCTGTTGTAAGCGGTAAATTTCCAAACATTTGATCGTCCTAAAAATTTGCATTTAAGCAATTTAGCCACCAAACGGTAGCCACAACACAGGAAAACTAGTCAGCAGCAAACGAAAGATAGAAACACGCACAACGAACGTATTAATTGCCTAACCTGTTTCCCCGTGATACTGAGAGATGCTGAGGATTTCGTTTTCATCCATATCCTGCTGTTGCTGCTGTTGTTGCTGTTGATGTTGCAGCTGAACACCTAGGGAAAGATTTAGCCGAGCATTCTGATTTCCACCTTCGCTCCCAGGACCACCACCACCGGCTCCAACTCCTGCACCACTCATCGGGGGTGGCCTCAACCGCGATGGATCCAGGAGCGATTGCATTTTGCTTTGTTTTTTTACTGGTGTCCGATTGGGCGACGATTTGCGACTGTTGGTAAAAGATTTCAACATTTTTGTCCTAGAATAGAAATGATAGAGTATAGGTAAGTTGAATCAGGAGAGCCCAAAGGATTCATACGCATCGGTTAGCTTCTTGAGCAATCTTTGGTATGCTTGGTATTCCTCTTCTCCAAATTCATTCGGATCATGCCGAGCGTGTTCATACCTAAACAAATAAGACGTTACTTCCCATCGCAAAACAAAACTCAAAATCTTACATATCACAGAACTGATGAATCAACCTTTGGCCAGAACCATTCAACGGAGCAGCCAATGTAGTCAATAGGAATGCTCTCAAGCTGTCTCTTGGATGTCTGGTGGAACCGTCCTGTTTGGCTATTTCTTTCTCTACAACGCAACAGACATATTACTCAATCTAAAAATCTTCATGTCCAATACTCACCGAGTTCCTTCACGTCATCCATTGCTTTCATCCGATAATAGTAAGGCGGCAAATTTGAATCTGGTTGCAGTATATACTTCTCGCCGTCCTTCTTATCGTCCCACAGTAGCTTGGGCTCAAAATAAATCTTATGAATACAGTCGATACGCCTCTCAATTTCCTTTTTAATAGACTGAAAAAAAAATCGAAAAAAGCAAAACGATTAACAACATTGCTGTCCTCCAAATACGCTCCATACAACCTTCTTAGCATCATGCCCGACAGCAACGTGTGGACCACGCCGCTGCCGGAGAGTAAAACGGACAATCTGCCGTTTGGCAATGATGAAACAAATGGTAACCGCAAGGACTCCTCCCCCGATGATGAGAACAATCATCACCCCAGAAAGCTCTTCCATTTTACTGGATTTGTTGGCTTGCTTTTCCAGAAAATATTGTCGAATTTCACGTAGGAAGCTTTCTCAAAAGCTTATTTTATTCTGGAAACACGATTTTTCATCTACAGGATTACATTTTCCGATTAATCAATAAATTTTCACCAAAATAAGAGGAAAAGTGCATTAAACTGAAGCACAAAAAGTTTTATCATATTTTGACAATCAATAGTAAACATAACACGGACGCAGCCAAATAAGGACTCTACGCTTATGTCGAATATATTGTACCGACTTGCACACGCTATTGCTAAACTGCTAAACTTTAACTGAAATGGTTATGGAACTTTACATGAACGTTTATGTGATAAAGTTTTAACCTTATGTATTATGGTTTTTTTGGAAGTGAACCTTACAAATAATGGGTTGTTAAGAACCATTACCATTCCAAATTCTTGGTTTCTCCATAGATTTTCGGAAAAGGAATTATATTAAAACCTTTTTATTTATGTTTTGAGAACTTTAATGGTAATGGTTATGGTAGTCAGTAAGGTTAATGGCTGGTTTTGTAACATCGAACAACTTTATGTGGAATATATCGCGAATAGGTTGCCTGTAAATTAATGATTGACCGACAATACATAACCATCCATGGACCTTACTGGCTACCATAACCATTACCATTAGAATTCTAAAACGATAAGTAAAAAGGTTCTAATACCGTTTTCTTTCCGAAAATATATGGAGAAAACAAAAATTTTGAATGGTAATGGTTCTTTACAACCAAGGTTTACTTCCAAAAAACCATGATACATAAGGTTAAAACTTTATCACACAAACGTTCATATAAAGTTCCATAACCATTTCAGTTAAAGTTTAGCCGGGATTATTATCAATTTTTAACCATTTTCGGTAAGGTCAAGTTATGGTTCGCGTTTATGAGGGAAGTTGATCAGCCCTCGGGAAAAGATTAGATTTCGTAACGTTGGATAGGCTTACGAGTAAGTCAATACAGTTTTATACGTATCTCGATTCGTGTAATAACATTTGATCCGAACACTTGCATTTATTTACATCATCGAGGACAAATAACCAAGCACCTCCATCCTCAATTTGAAAAAAAAAATAATGTATTTTTTAACCATTTTACTGAAAACACAATGTAATTAAATTGAGTTTAAAAAAAAGTAGAAGAGTCTGTGCCTAGGGGCACGAACGGAAGCTTGACGTAGGACCGCTAGTGGACGGAATATGTGAAGAGCATTAAGTTCTTTTAATTGATCAAATATCTATTATCTCAACTCTTTCCGTTTTTGAATTGTAGGCGTACCAAATTTGTAGTAATCTTTTTCAAAGAGAAAGTTGATTACGAAAATCAATCAAAATCACTTGCACCCCTGCTTCCAAGTTTGTGTGGTCGTTGGGGGCTTGTGGTTCTGAATATGGACGAACAAGCACAGATACATTCTATTCCAACTTTTTACTGATGTAAGCTTGATGGCCCTGAAAAGGGCCGTTTTATTGAAGAGGACATCCATGGCCACTTACGCTTGGCGTGTTTAGTGTAGGTGACAGCATCACGGACCTCATTTTCCAGGAACACCTTCAACACACCTCGTAGATCAGACCGGAGATACGTCCGACACCGCCACGGCGAGCCAGACGACGGATGGTGGTTATCTCGAAGAATTTGCTATGACGATTGGCACCTCCTTTGCCACGACCAGTCAATTGTTGCTTGTTAGGTTATAGAAAAGTGGACTAACCACCTTCCTACTGCTGCTATTGCTGACCACGCCGTCCGAAGCGAAAATGAGCTGATCCCAGACAGCAGCGCTGCTTTACATCTTTTTAGGTTAAAGCAGAATGATGTGCAACCAAGTGGTATAAAAGCTACAAAGACTCCTCCCATTATGAGTAGTTTGCTATCAAGTAGCGACACTGGCTATTTTCTTTTTGCGTACACGGCGAATGAGAACGACCCAAATTTGAGTTTAGTTCACTCATAATCGCCAAAAGTGTAGGAACTCAGCGATGAGTAAATTTGTCTCATGGTTTCCTGTGGAAAACCTAAAAAATCTGCCAGAAAATGAATAAATTGACGAAAATTTAATTCAGTCTCGGAGTAGTACCAATAGACTGAGTGAATCCAATTTTTACTTTTCTCAAATTCGGGAATTTTCCCATGGAAAATCCTGGAAAAACCTTGGAAAACATGAGGCAAATTTACTCATCGCTGAGTTCCTGCACTTTATTTCTTATTTCTGAGATAACTAAACTCAAATTTGGGTTGTTCTCATTCGCCGTGATATCACCTTGAAAGATATCGGCACCGGTGGTTAGCGTGATTACCTCTCATCCCAGCTGGCCTGGGTCCAATCTCAGTCGGCGCCACCGGCATGTTCTAAGGCATAACATCGCTGGGAGCTGCCTCCCTGGCGTCGGTAGCATTGGAGCTCAGTACGGAAAACAAATCTCGCGTCACTTTTCAATAGGTCCTATCTACATTGATCGATTCTCTTCATCGACACTCTCTTTCGTAAATAACTCGGCTTCACAAATTCTGGATCAACAATAGAAAAGGGCCCATCAGCATTTGTGAACAAACCGTTCCAAAGCCCTTTACTCACAAAGCGAAGGCCACCCACACAAACCAACACCATCATCGGATAGGGGAAACTTCTACCTACACGATGATAGTATTGGTTTGTGTGAGCGGCCTTCGATTTGTGAGGAATGCGCTTTGGAACGGTTTGTTTACAAATGCTGATGGGCCCTTTTCTGTTGTTGATCCAGAAATGTTTCCTGCCGTCTTCGTCGAATCAGATGCTCGATTGTTGCTTCTTCCATCGAAAATATCCGGCCGTGGCGATTCAAAGTTGATCAAGGTTGATCAAAATAATTTGTACCCCTGCTTCCAGTTTGATTACATGAGCATTTTGTGTGATCGTTGGTTCTGAATATAGACAAACAGGCAGATGAATTCTATTTCTACTCTTTACTGTAATAAGCTTGGTGGCCCTGAAAAGAGCCGTTTTGTTTCCAAAGTTGGTAATGATTTAACCTACGAAACCAAACAGAGTGCATCTCTGTCACTTCAAAAACGTAGATGACATCCATGGCCGCTTACACTTGGCGTGTTTAGTGTAGGTGACAGCATCACGGATCTCATTTTTCAAGAACACCTTCAGCACGCCTCGTAAATCAAACCGGAGATACGACAGATACCGCCACGGCGAGCCAGACAACGGATGGTGGTTATCTTGAAGAAATAAGTTTGATTCAGAACTTCTGAATATGGCGATGAGTGTGCAAATATTACGCAATTACATCCTCCCTATTCGCACGCGCCCGAGGATCGGAGGCGAATGCCACTTCGACTTGTTTCGTCTACTTACTACTCTCTGACGACTGTGCTGGGGAAGCAGCATATGCATATAGGTAATTGGTGGATTTGTTAGTTAATTCGACGCGTTTGGACAATGCTGGACATTTACCAGTTTTTCAATAGTTTCTTGTTGAAAATCACCATCCGGAAGCATTGTTATCGATGCGTAGCCATATTTCTGATTGATTGGTGATAAAATTATTGAAATTGGACAGCAGCTGAGGGGGGCAGCTGAGTTATTAACGTTCAAAATCTTTCTTAATTTGTTACATGTTCCATTTTTTTAGTTTTTAGAAATTCCTCCATACCTCTGAGTAGAAGTCACTCTATCTTTTAGTTATTCTCAGAGGCCGTGATCGACCTGAATCCGATCGATGTTTTTTTGTCAATTTATCACTCGCAACTTAGCATTTCCATTTTTGTGTAAGTACAGTTTTTACCAAACATAAAGATTTTGAGGTTGGTCGATTTGCTGTACATAGTAGTAGCAACAATCAATACGAAACTAACGATTTTAAATTGGCTCACTACTTGACTAGCCCTGAGTACTGCGGACTCACTCAAGGTGCTTGTCACTTGGGAGCCAGTGTAAACTGACAAGCGGGAGCCAAACATTCAGAAGCAGCAAGTGCAGTTACTGTTCTTATCTACCGTCAAGCATTGTACTCTCATAAAAAATGATCTATACTTTTTCATAACACATTCTTAATTTTAAGCTCAAAGATAAAAACCAACAGGCTCAGTGATGAAAGTATAAAAACCAGCATAATTTTTATGAGGCAGCTGAGTTTTCAATTGCAGTAAAACAATCCTTTGGGAAACATGTATGTAAACAAACTTTGATAGAGTCATGGGGCTCGAGCACTCCTGGCTCAGAGCTTTTGGCGGGAATCAACTGAGAAAGAGCAAACCAGTTTTAAACTTGAGAAAATTTTCAAGCAGTTTTCCATTGGCTTGCAAAATAAAATTGGTCGACTCCGCAGTACCCAGGACTAGCCTATTGGTCCCAAGCATAACGATTAATGTACCCCATTCTAGTATAAATTCCAGTACTACACTATGTTTGTTTTGATTCGCTATGAATGTTTGACAGACAAAATGAGGGGCTCGTGGATTTTCCTATGTTTCGAGGGGCGCATCGCTTAGCTAGGGACCGAAGATAGTACCAGAGCTGAGCCAAAAAGTTTAGCTCGTTTCTTCGGGACCTTCTGGTCTTAGAGTTACCAACAATCAATACGAAACTAACGATTTTAAATTGGCTCACCACTTTAGTAGCCTATTGGTCCCAAGCAAACGATTAACGTAGCCTATTCTAGTTGAAATTCTATTACTACACTATGTTTGTTTTGAATCGCTATGAAAGTTTGACAGATAACATCAGGGGTGTGTGGATTCATGCAGAACATGCAGGGGTGAGTGAAATAGCTTGGGACTGCTTGGGACCGTTGTTCTGGTACTGAGGAGCCAAAAATAATAATGATTTTCTTCGGGACCCAGTGGTCTTAGAGTTACCTCTATGGAGTTACCCCTATGGTAAAAGTATGGACGTCTATCAAGGAGTTGTTCCAATTGAACCGTCAAAATGCACCGCTTTGCTAGATTGGAACCAATGACGTTTATATAAGGTCTGGGCCAAAGGACTTATTGGTGTTAGTGAAATGTGCAAATGGATAGTGGTGTTCGTATTATATTGCAATGTTTATCTTTTTACACGAAACAGCTGTTGGCAGTGACGTATTTCTATCTGTTCTCAGTATGTTGGCAGTGACGTATATCTATCTGTTCGCAGATGTTCAGCTATGTTTACAACATTTTTGCTTCTAACACCAGCAAGCTGCCTGTTGGCCCAGACCTTATATAAATGTCATTGGATTTGAGCAGCTTTTTCCAGTTTTGTGGTGACAGTCGTCCATACTTTAACTTTGACTGTGCTTTAACTAGAGGGCTTTAATGCTGCCTACTGTCAAACGCTGTCAAACGAGTAAAGGCCGGCGCACAATAGATACTTTTTCAGGTTTTTGACAGTTAGCCCATGCATTATCTGTCAAAAAAAAACCCGAAAACGTATGCATTGTGCGCTGGCCTTAAGAAGCCAGTTGTCTCCTCTGCCTCTTAGGTATAGTCCTTACGAAATTTCAGTCGGTACAGATACTGTATACCATTCAGTAAGAACCCGTGAAGCTTTCAATCAATCTCAAACCGACACGCTATTTTAAAACTACCCAAATTTGAGTAGAATCCACCCAGATCGGTCAAAACTGATCCTATACCCAAAAATGGGTAAAATGTGTTGGGAGTGATAAGTTGACAAATGAACAATGTCGATCGGATTCATGTCGATGTTGTTCATTTGTCAACTTGTCACTCCCAACACAGTTTACCCATTTTTTCGGTAGGTTCAGTTTTCACCGATCTGGGTGGATTCCACTTAAATTTGGGTAGTTTAGAAAATAGCGTGTATAGCATAATAGAAAAAGGCCAATAAACTTCTGTAAACAAAATTTGTAAGGCCCTTTTCACGCTAAGCGAATAATTATTACGGCCACGCAAACCAAGATCACTATCGAAAAGAAGAAAATTTCTCCTCATGAGCGTACTTCAGTTCGCGTGAAAAAGGCCTTGCAAGGCAACAAGTTGTATACACAAAATTGTATAGACCCTTTTCAAAAGCTGCGCGAGAAACAACAATCTGCTCATTCAGTGTTTGTTGTTGTGTCACTAAAGCAGTGCGAAACGCAACATGCAGGTTTAACTTGCGAATTTTACTAATTTTCTGTACTTAAATGAGTCATTGTATAAGAAAATTCGCGAATTTCCGCTAGTGCAATGTCTACGGAGAAGAAAAAACGACGAAACACCCGGGCGTCACCAGTGGTTGCCTCACCAAAGGACGACTCCTCTAGCGACGAGTTGGTAATCGATTTCCCGTACGCGGCAAATAACACCCGAAGTAAACAGCAACCACAGCCACAATCGATTGTTACCAGATCTTCAAGGCCGGTAACGCCGAAAAAAAGTCCGGAAAAACGACAACCCTCGACAAGGAAGAAACGCCGCAGACCTAGATCGAGCAGCTCCAGTAGCGATGTGGAGGACCAAACACTGGAGGAAACAATTCAGAGGGTGGCAGTCAACAATAACATGACGCAAGATAGCGTCAAGAAGATTCTCAAGAAGCTGGTGCTGAATGAGCATATATTGGCCACGGTGAAATTGAAGGTGTGTATGATATTTTCTGCTATCTATCGGCTTTCAAGTAAGATTAAGCTTTGATCTTCGTTTTAGGAAGAAGATGAGGACCGCGAAGAAAACATGCGACCTTCGAAGGATGGAACGGATGGCGACGATGAAGATGAGGAATCCAATTATCTTCAATACAAACTTACTCGATTGAAAGCTAAGCAGCTAAACAAGCAACTTCTTCCTATAGTTCCCCTGAAGGCTGCTCCGATAGCGGACGAGGAGGTGGCAGCCTTAATCCATGAGGATCTTGGCTCCGATGACGACGATGAAGAGTACAAACCGACCGAGGAAGACATCCAATCCGATGATGATCCCAGTACAACGATATCGGATATCGATTCGCAGCCGCGCACCCCAGCTACGCCGGCAGCCGCAGGAGGAACGGAGTGTGGTCTCGATGAACGACCGGAATACAGCCGAGATGGCTTGTTCAAAATTCCCAAATCGCGCAATGATAGTCACTGTTCGCAGTCAGAACAGGAGCAGGAGAACATAGCTCGACGAACCAGGTCCAAGCTGTGTTTGCAGACGACGGCAATCGAAACGATTGAATCGACGTTTGTGCCACCGGACATTACGACGGATATGTACGATTTCGACTGCGATATGGATCACGTGTGGAAAGAGTTTCTGAACGAGTTTACGAAGCCTTTAGGCGAGTATTATTGGCCACATTTTCATCTTGCTTATCGGCATCGAAAAACAAAGTTTTTTTTTTATTCTTCATTATGGAGATTTTTAGCCTTTGGCTAGTTCATCTCCGTAAAACGAAAAACAAAGAACAAAGCTTCGCAGATGTTCGATGTTTCTATTTGCATTTTTAAAACGATATTTTCCTATTATTCATATACCTATGTATATTTAATATTACAGAAAATCACGCAGAGGAAGATGATGATACCGATCCGGAATACGTGGCTGCCGATAAAGTGCCAGTCGATCCCGAAGAGCTTCGAGAAGTTAAGGTATCAAAGAAGGAACTTAACAATCTGGTATCGGAACTGCTTGAAATGAGTGGAATTATAGATGAATCTTTTCTTGACGATGGTTTGCCAGACAGTACCTTGATTCCTGATAATACAATTGACGCTCAAGGTCAAGAAAATTCAATACAGGACCTTGAGAAAACAGAAGAAACTTCGGAGCTTAGTACTCCTCAACCAAAAGTACCCAGCCCAGAAAAAATGCTTATTCCAAGTCCTGAAGAGCAGGTTAATAGCACAATCATTTCGACTGCACCATCCGTAGATTGCCGAGTTGTATGCATGAGCACTCCTCTTCAGCAGCTGCAACAATGTACAATTACTGAACAACCGTTTACTAGCTTAAATCCACCAACTATCATCGCAATGGCTTCCACTAGCCAACCTTCGACCAGTGCAACAGCTCGAAATCATTCCATCATCGGAAATTTCTTCGTACAAGTATCAACACCAGACGAATCCAGCTACACACGGTACTGTGTACCGTCGTTAAGGGTTCCGGTAATTCCACCTGATCAACGCGTACCAGTTGAGCCTTCAGAACGAAAGTATCGCTTCGTTCATAGCCTGCTTCCGGTGACAGTTACCTATTCCGAAGGACAAACTGGCTTTACCAATTTTCAGCTGTCAATTTTCCAACAACAGCTGCGAATGCATGTGCAGTTTGCGGCTCAGAACTTCATGCAAACCTACGCCCATCCCAAATTTTGGCAGATGGCAAGCACTTTCAAGGATATGCTGGTAATTTCAATTGCTTCTAAAATACGAGGATTAACCTACATCAACTCCAATTTCTTTTCAGCTTGACCTACAGGAAAAATCTAGTAGCGTTCCGTCGGCCTATGCTTTTAATCTAGATGACGCTATCGAATGTTGCACGGGCTGGGAGAGGGAACTTGAAGAGCAATCAGATGAAAATACCGAATTTATAAATTTTCAACTGGAAGAAGTTAAAAAAAGGTATGATTTGAACTATTTATTTTTTAATCAAATAAACCCATACAGCTCTGACAAAACCATTTCAGTGAAAAAGCAAAGGAAATATCCAAGTACTACCAAGGTTTCTTCCATCCAAAGATGATGGAAAGGGTTGTCACCAATAGAGCCTTTATGTATCCAAAATTGCTGCCGTACACACCGTTTCGAATGGATTTACGATCGGAGAAGCGCTTCATCAAATCCGAAGAGCGACTGATTGCCTACGGGTTGGAAATGTTCTACTCCATTGCCAAAGAGGAGTTCAGCCGGTACAAAACGCAGAAAGAGCGAATTCCCACGCTGTTGCAAGTCTGTAGCTACATTAGCAAGTACCTGTGCCCGCTGCACACTGGCCCACAAATATATGGGTTCATTTGCAGCCGCCGGCAGCGTTGCGCTCAGACGAATTCCATCAAGGTAAGATGCATTCAAGCAGGTTAGTTAGAAAATAACACGCAGCATCATTTTCTTTTTGCAGTATTATTATAAGCACTTGAAATCGCCACCTTTCCAGCATGTGCTGGAAACAATCGATTTCAACAATGTAATCGCTCCGGCTGCATATCAGAAGGGAGAACTTCCGCATCTTTGGGATAAATATCTCTACTCACCGGAAAGGGTAAGTACCGTAGCTCAGTCTTGTCTGAAAAATAATGTCTTCTCCAATGAAGTAAATTGGTAGGTACCTAAAAAATGCGCGCGTATTTATCGCAGGGTCACTAAAAAGACTCTTTTTAGACTAAAAAAAACATTAGAGTCACTTTTTCACAACAAACTATGAAGAATTTCATATTTGAAATTCACATCAAAATGTTTAAATTGACAATCGGTCATGTTTGTCACATGTCATGCCAATGATTCTTGAGTACACGGCCCTGGGGAAGTAAAGAAGTAGCTGCGAAATACGCCTATCTGTCAACAGATAAGCATTCGTAACCAGGGTGACCAGCGAATCGGTAAGCCAGAAAAAGCGGGAATCCATCATTTCCGGATGAAAACCGTGAAAAGCCCGTGAGGCCGCCGCCATAGTGAGAGCGAAGGGCAGCGAAGTGTTGAAACGAATATTATCATGAATGGAAATTCCCAATATTGATATTAATCGTGTTATGTGTTATGTTAATAATTATGTGTGTATGGCAAGCTTCTACCGTATGCGTGATAATGTTTGCACCATCGTACAAATAAGGTTCCCGTTTCACCTGTGCATACAATGCCTTGGTTTTCTTTGCATGCACGTAACCTATAGTTCATACCGTAGTAGGCTATGTATAAAAGAAAATGATTTACTTAGTTTGACAGTTGCACCATGACGAAGTGGCAGCGTATTCGTGATTTGTTCCACGCGCAAATGTCGCAAAAAGACATTTCAATCGCGGTGGGAGTGCCCCGGTGGTCCGTCAAAAGGGCTTTAGACCGAGAAAAGAAAGGATAACTATCCGCGAAGGTGGCCACAGGTCGTCCGAGGTCAGCTCGGGTTCCGAGGGTTATCGCTGCTATCAAAAGGAAGATTAGCTTGAATCCAGTGCGTTCAATAAGGAAAATGGCAAAGGAACACGGGATCAGTGAGTTAACGACACGGAAGATCGTAAAGGAAGATTGCGGGGCGAAGTCGAGGGCACGGTAAAAAAAACTCACATGATTACCAACCGCATCCGGGAGCTACGAGTCGAACGATGCAAGAAAATCTCAAGTGAAAAAAATCGGTAATCCTGTTCACCGACGAGAGCATGTTTACCGTCGATCCCGTATCCAATTCCAGAACCGACCGGTAAATTAGTTCTCTTCCGGTAAAAGACGTGGCCGACGAGCACAAGAACATGTATCTGACCAAGCATCCTGCTAGCGTTATTGGTGGCTTCCAATGGCAAAAAAAAATGGACACGGTGTTCATTCCAGAAGGTGACAAGGTCAACACGGAGGTCTGCATCGAGATTTTAAGTAAGTATGTTCTTCCGTGCATCAAACAACAGTACGGTCCCAAGCCAAATGTTGTATTTCAACAAGATGGGGCTCCGTGCCACACCTCGAACCGCACTTAGAAGTGGTTGCAGGAACATCTTCCGGTCTGGGCGAAGGATATGTGGCCGCCATCCAGCCCCGATCTTAATCCGCTGGATTACTCAATATGGCCAAGGCCTGTTATAAACGCCACCCGAGTACAGCAAGCCTCAGACGAACATTGACCCGTACCTGGAGAGAAATTGATCCAGACTACATTATTAGAACTTGCCGTGCATTCCGGAAGCGTATGGAGGCCATAATTGCAGCAAGTGGAAACTCGATCGATGATTAACATAGTTTAAGACTCTGAGAAACACCCCCCCCCCCCCTTTGAATAAATAAAAAAAAACTCGAAAACGACATTGCTCAATGGTGCAAATATTATCACGCATACGGTAGCTCAGCCTTGCCGGGCGTGGTCTCTGGATCTCAGCAATGATATAATTTTTGTCTAATTTTATTAATTATTATAAATTTCAGCCCAGGATTTTTCTGAGGCATAAAAATCTCTGGTCACGTCTTCCTTCGGAAGGGAAGTAAAGCCGTTGGTCCCCGGCCCATGTGTGTTTGAATTTGAATGGGTGCGATATCCTACGCAGGTGTGGAAGCTGCCTTCCTGCACATTCGATTGCCGTCAATGGATGGCAATCGATGTCCGTCGGTGATTGGCACTAGATTGCGGAACAGTGACCGACGTTAAATAAAGGAAAGAAGAAGAAGATAAATTTCAGCCCAGAATGCATTAGAAATGAACAACATGTAGCTTGCAACATGTTCATCGTTGATACAACCATTTAAAAAAGCAAGTTTAGAAAGGTTGGGCAGGCCTGTTCCAGCTGCAAGTAGATTTTTTATTTTTAGAAACAAATTCACTAGGTAGGGGAAAATGGATCTAATGTAGGCCTAAATGCCCCTCATTTGGGCCCATATATAAATTCAGCAATCGACTAAATTTTCAATAGCGGCCAAAAATATTCATTAGTACCGTCCCAACGACGCGTTCATCTAGATAAAATTAATAAATAGCAGATTTTTAGCGATGGGCCCAATCTTAGATCTATAGGCCAACATTAGAGCCATTTCCCCTATAAGTTTAAATAGATTTTCTTGCAAATTTCGGTCTTCCGATTAGTTTTAAGTAGAACAATTTAGGTAGAAACAAATTTAGTTTTACAATTTTAATTCACAACAAATTAAATTAAATTAAATTTTGTAAACTGTTCTTTCTCACTCGCTGCTCGTCGAATAATATCCAGCAAACTTTTGGCAACTGTAGCCGGAAATCTCCTCTCACCCAGTTCTAGGTTTCACCGTCGTTGGACATTCTGGCGCTGTGGTTGCGACGCTGAGGCAGTGAACCCAGTTCGCAACATCCTCCCCCTCACTGCCCTAATAAAATGTGTATGGTTATTTTCTTTAACGACGTGTTGGGGGTATCATCCAAACTATTTGTGGTATAGTTCAATCATTTGGGTTGTCATTCGGCTATGGTCATCGAAAGTTTCATGTCCAGTTTTCCCGAACTGCGCTGTTTGTTTGAACCAATGCTTGCCGAATTCGACCATCTTGCCCCGCATAGACATTGCAAATTCGACCTCTTGTCCAACCATTTCGGAATCCAGAGAGAGGTACGTCAACGGTCTCAAGTACACCATTTCTTCTGCTTCTATCGCCAAAGTAAACAGACCTTCGTCGTCCAATCTCCATCCCCCATTAGCTGCTTCCATCACTGACTTGACGAAACGCACCATCCGTTCCCACGATCCACTCATATGCGGCGCGCTCGGAGGGATGAATACCCATTTCATGTTTGTGTTGGTGAAGGTTTCCGTATTTGTTCCCGTAATACTCCATCGGCTCCTCGGAAGTTCGTCCCGTTGTCGGAATGGATTTCCAGAGGCGCTCACGAATCGACGCACACTCATGACGCAGGATTCAGACGTGGACAGCACGGATCGTCAAGGATGTACATAGTACGACCCATCTCTTGGCGTTGCTCCGATCGATCCTAACAAGGACTGATCCGAATAGATCCAACCCTTCATAGCTGAATGGTCGCGTAAACGATGCTAGACGAGCATTTGGAAGCGGAGCCATCCTAGGAACACGCGGTTGCGCGTTCTTGATTATACACTATTGACTATTCCGGTAACTGCATTGACGATTATGCGTAGCTTTGGAATGTAGTATTGTAGTCTCACCTCGTTAACTACAGTCTCCATGATGGTACTTCCTATGGAAGGAATCGATGATAAGGTGAGTCAGTCGTTTCCTTGGCAGAATTATGGGAAACTTTGCATAACTTGTAACATTCGCTGCTTGGATTCTACTGTCCACCCGTAGGATTCCACGTTCGTCAAACACAGGCGATAATTGGGAGATAGTACAGTGTTTGTCCAGAGGCTCCTGTGATTCTCTCGGATGTTGAAGATTGTGCGTTAAGATGGCAAGTTCAACTGGGAAGACTTCCCATTGAACCGCCCGGATCAAGTACTCCAAGGCTTGTGTTAACTCCACCTGCGTAAGACTTCCGGGTAGTGGTGCAATATGTGAAGCGATGGACGTACGCTGTAGCTAGTAGTACCATAGAGGTAACTCTAAGACTAGAAGGTCCCTAAATAACGTGCTCTACTTTTTGGCTCAGCTCTGGTACTCTCTTCGGTCCCAAGCTAATCGATTCACCCCTCGAAACATAGGAAAAACCAATAACCCCTCATTTTATCTGTCAAACTTTCATAGCGAATCAAAACAAACATTGCGTAGTACTAGAATTTTGACTAGCATAGGGTACGTTAATCGTTTGCTTGGGACCAATAGGCTAGTCAAGTAGTGAGCCAATTTAAAATCGTTAGTTTCGTATTGATTGTTGCTACTACTGGATTGAACTAGCATTTTCACCAAATGTACTAGAATGCTTTGGTTCTATCTCTTTCACTCTACTCAAAACTGAAATGCATAAAAAATTGACAAAATGACACACTCGTTGCACACTGTCAAAGAATCATTGTACCCAAAATCAACTTTGTGCAAAACCAAAACAAAAATAGTATCCCATCTGGTGGATGATGGCACAAGCTTCTAAGAAAATTCTATTACTGCGAACCACATTATTTTAATTTATTTCTTCGCCAGTTAGTCGTCTGTCACTTCGTTTGTGGTTTCCACCGGTTGCTATTGCTCTTCTATCATTGTATGTGATACAAAAACACCCATCCAAATTTATTTTCATTTATTTAATATAATCATAGGTAAAAATTGTCCAATATACAATTTGAAATCATGGGTTACTTCAGATATTTAGACTACCTATCATGATTGGTGCTCATTTTCTAAAGGCGGGGCATGGAAAAACAATCTAAGGTTAGGTACTCTATTCTGAAATTGTTGAAAGGGAATCTAGTCTCGAATCTAGTATCATGTAGAACAAAACGTCCAATCAATGTAACACTCATTGCACGTGCTCAACTTTTTCGCTCAGGTCTGGTACTATCTTCCGTCCCAAGCTAATCGATTCACCCCTCGAAACATAGGAAAATCCAATAACCCCTCATTTTATCTGTCAAACTTTCATATCGAATCAAAACAAACATTGTGTAGCACTAGAATTTTGACTAGAATGGGGTACGTCATAATGACGTTTTGCTACCTGCAGGGCTGTTACAACAGGCGCGGATTTCGCGATTTTCGCGGATTTGTCGCGGATTTGAACTTTCAGTCGCGGAAACATTAAATGATGCCGCAAAAATCGCGAAGGGACTGATATGCTGTCATAAAAATTGTGGAAGTCATTGTAACCTTTCCGTCCCGGATTATTTTGCTGTCATCAATTTTGTTGTTCATTTGGCTCTCAATTTTTTACCGGTTCAAACCAAACACCCTGCAAATAATCGAGCAATGATCTCAATTCCATAAGTCACACCGGATTTGCACGGAAATTCCCTGAGGTCTGTCCAGACATTTTCCTTTTTTTTATCCAATTATACCGGATATTCTAGGTTCTCCAATTCGTCCTGGAGGTCAGTTGATTTGTTCAACTATATCAACTATGACTCCAATAATGTATGTAGTATCGAAATATGTCCAAACAGATTCAAAGTGTCTGTGTGGATTGTACCCGACTTATTGCTACGTATACAAGATGTTATAGGTTCTGAAATCATTCTGGAGATCATATTATTTTTCTACTAGATCACCCACACACTTAATCTAGCTCGGTAAAATCTCCAACAGCCGATTACCTCGGCATTTGCCTTTGCCGATATCTCTGCACATTATCTGTTTGTTAGCTGATATCTCAGCAAAATTTTATTTGTTAGCTGAGTCTCGGCAATTGTTTTACTGAATCTCAGCAAAATAAATTGCAGAATCACTCGGCTGTTGGAATCTCGACGAAAAAAAATAAGTGTGCAAGACTAATTCAATATCTGTAGTATCGAAATATGCTGTTTGGGCAGTATCTATGTGAATCATGCCAACCTATTTCCGTGTATGCCAAATGTTCTAGGATTTCCAATATTTCGATACTACAGATATTATACTAGTCTTTGTTGATCTAGTAAAACAAATCATCTGAATTGCTGGACGATTTGGAAAACCTAGATCATCTGGTATACGTAGAAACATTATCCATATAGACACTATGAATCTGTTGGGACATATTTCGATACTACAAACATTATCCCAGTCATGGTTGATCTAAAGGGTGATACGGTCAAAATTTGGTCAATATCAACTTGACGTATTTCTTTCAATTTTGCATTTAAAAAACCTGAACACCCCTCATTTTGAAGGTGTGTGTGTGTAGAATGTTGCTCCTATTTTGATTTTGGAATTCACTCTTCAGTTGTCAAAATGCCGTCCAAGCAAGAAGAGCAGCGTATCAAAATTTTGCTCGCGCATCGCGAAAATCCGAGCTACTCGCACGCAAAGTTGGCAAAATCGCTAAAAGTTGCCAAATCAACCGTTACAAATGTAATTAAAGTGTTTGGGGAACGTTTGTCGACAGCCAGGAAGTCTGGATCGGGGGGAAATCGAAAACCGGAAGCCGCTGAGACGACAAAGAGAGTTGCCGGTAGTTTCAAGCGAAACCCTAACCTCTCTCTCCGAGATGCCGCAAATAAGCTGGGTGTATCGTCTACAACCGTGCATCGAGCCAAAAAACGAGCCGGACTATCGACTTACAAGAAGGTAGTGACTCCAAATCGCGATGATAAACAAAATACGACGGCCAAAGTGTGATCCCGGAGGCTGTACACGACGATGCTGACGAAGTTTGACTGCGTGGTAATGGACGACGAAACCTACGTCAAAGCCGACTACAAGCAGCTTCCGGGACAGGAGTTTTATACGGCAAAAGGAAGGGGAAAGGTAGCAGATGTTTTCAAGCACATGAAACTGTCAAAGTTCGCAAAGAAATATCTGGTTTGGCAAGCCATCTGTACCTGTGGCTTGAAAAGCAGCATTTTCATAGCTTCCGGGACTGTCAACCAAGAAATTTACGTGAAAGAGTGTTTGAATAAACGTCTGCTGCCTTTCCTGAAGAAACACGGTTGTTCCGTACTGTTTTGGCCGGATTTGGCATCTTGCCATTACGGTAAAAAGGCCATGGAGTGGTACGCCGCCAACAACGTGCAGGTGGTTCCCAAGGACAAGAACCCTCCCAACTGGCTATTGTCAAGCGGAACCTAAAGAAGACCAAAAAAACTGCTAAGGGCGAGCAGCAGTTCAAGGCAAACTGGCTTTCTGCGGCGAAGAAGGTGGACAAGGTTGCTGTACACAATCTGATGGCAGGGGTCAAGCGTAAGGCCCGGCAATTCGGATTTGGAAAAGCGGAAGCTCAACTGAATATTTTTCCTGAATTTTATACTAATTGAACTTGAAAAAGAAATTTAATTTGATTTTTTAAATAAACGATTTCACCGATTTACACGCGTTTTCCCTTGACCAAATTTTGACCGTATCACCCTTTAGTAGAATAAATCATCTGAACTCCGGAACGATTTGGAGAACTTAAAACATCTGGTATACATGACAATAGTTCATGCATCATCCTCATAGACACTGTGCATCTGTCTGAAAATATTTCGATACTTAAGACATTGTCCCAATCTCGGTTGATCTAGTAGATCAAATTATCTGAACTCCAGAACGATTTGAAGAACCTTGATTACTCGGAAATAGATCATGCATGATCCACATAGACACTTTAAATCTGATTGGACATTTTTCGATACTACAGACATTATTGCAGTCTTGGTTGATCTAGTAGAACAAATCAACTGATGTCCTGGACGATTTCGAATACCTATAATTTCCGGTATACAAAGTAATAAGTCGTGCATGATCCACAAAGTTTCATATATACGATTCGATTATGATTCGACAACGAAAAGTGCTACTGTGTTACCTGACCTATAACGAATATACGTTGTATACGAGTACCCCGAATACAACGTATAGTTCGTCTAATTTTACATTGCAAATGCTATGCAAAATTAGACGAGTCATAAGTTGTATTCGGGGTACTCGTATATAACGTATATTCGTTATAAGTCAGGTAACACAGTAGGTACAGGCATAGAAAGCTCTCAATTAAAATGTGAAAGTACTTCAAAGAACACTAAGTTGAGAGCAAGCAAATATCTAATATGCTATAAGCAATAAGCTTGAAATGCTATGTAGTAGTATACAAATGCTATTTTTAGGCAATTAAAACAGTTTTTTTTTGTCGCGGATTAGTATTTGAAGTCGTGGATTTCTTTTGAGAAATCGCGGATTTCGCGGATCAAATTTAGAAAATCTGTCAAATCGTATGGAATATTTTTTACTACATCTGCGTATCTGAAAACTAGGTGTCGCATGTCCAGTTTTACCTTTGCTCAAATTCATCAATCGTAGGTTAAAACAAATATTCTGACGGCACTGCCAGTATGCTTTATAAACGTATATGGCTGCGTACTTGAGTGCATATAAAGGCAGTGACAGGAGAGTGCTTATTTGAAAGTGAACAGAGTGTAATAATTTTTCTAAAATGTATTGTTTATAATTTCTTTTCGTGCCTAATTTGTAATAAACCGTTTCTTTTTCCACACAGCTGGTAATAATAAACAATCGCAGAAGCGCATCAAGTCTTACCAAATCACACGAATCCGCCGAGGCATATAGCCCACTACCGCCATCAACACCCAGTCAGGAAGCCAACGTAAACATCACCATCAGTCTTGTTCTAGACCCACAGCAAGCCCCGATACCGTTGGACCAAACTATTTCCACGAACCTAGATTCAACGACATCGTTGCAAATTGATCAGCTATCGTTGAATAAGTCGTATCCCTCGGTCGTAGAACAAGAGAACATCAGTTTAAGTGAAGCAATCGAGCCGAATTGCAGTCCATACAAGGCCGAGATCAAGGAGGAACCTTCCATTTCAATTATTGACGATAATTTCGACGGATGCAGCTTACCGGATACCGATCCACCGATATCCGATCCACCTATCACTGAAACAGAGAAAACCAGCTGCTGTGAATGCAACTGTCATCGGAACGATAGTGAGCGAGGAAATAATTCCCGACCAAACAACTTAGAGAAGGGCCAGAAACGATTGACGGATTTTTTTCGTTTGTTTCCAAAGAACATTTCCTTAAATGATAAAAGAAAGAAAAGCTTGAAACAAAAGCTCTGGGAAATTTATCAACGATTCCGAAATTCGTATGTGCACGGAATCGACCGTGGTAAATTGAATTGGTTCCTTCGAAAAGTGTTCGACCACTTCTGTCTGATAGACAGCTTCAGTTGCTTTCTGGACGAACTGAAAAAGATGAGTTCCAGTAATGGTTCGAAGAAGATGGATGTAATTATGGCAAAAAATGAACACTCAATATCGAACGGATTGCGTACGAGATTGCAACGAATCAGTGAGGCTGAAAATAAGGACGCCAATTATGCTTACAACTTTTTTGAAAAAGTTGAAGAGACTTTGCTGTCCGAAAGCAGACATGCTCAATACGAGAGCTTTCTGGAAATTTTACAATCGTTTAATGCGGTGGAAGATCGGGTTACGGATTTGTACTATAAAATAGAAAATCTTCTATTGGCTGATCATCCCGAATTGGTCGACTTATTCCTAACGTTTCTGCTGCCGGGACAAGCGGCAGAAGTTGGGAAATTTTTCGAACATTTCATTCTCACCAATGCGAATGATTTTCTGACCAAGTTAAACATCTATTTCGCCAAGCAGCCGGCGCAAATCAAGAAAATTTACTCATGTCTTAATGATCTTTCAAACGAGCGCGATGTGACCATGGCACAGATAAAATCCCGTGTCCTCCCGCTATTGAAGGGGAATCCCTTGTTGATTGAATGGTTTCTGCAATTATTTCCTCCGGAAAAACCTCCGGAGAGTAGTATCGCCGACTATGAAGTAATTTCAATGAAAAAGCTACCCCTCCCGGACTACACCGATCCAAATGAAATCTACGAGGATGTGCCATTCGTGGAAGTGGCTCCGGAATCGATCAGCGAAAGTACCGTGTGTGGGACAAAATACATCCAAGGTCGTATCGTGTATGGAACACAACCGGCGAGATTGTCCTTCCTGGCCCATGACTGCATGGTTTCGGCTGCTTCCAGCAAGGACAACTCGGCGCTCAAAGGATGCGTGCATAATGTACGACCTAGAACGGGTGCCGAAGGTGAAGCGCTTGGCGATAAGGATCAGCCGGATATTGTTTCACCGGAGGAGATTCACCGTGAGGAGCCACGGTACAAGCTGTGCGACGATGTCACCTTTAATGCACATGCCATTCGCCTGAATCCCCTTGTTCATGGTGGGAAGGGCGTTACATATGCGGATGTGGCTCACCTGCTGGTGCCAGATCCGAATACACCCGACGAAAGGTAAGACTGTTTTTTTTTTCATTCTATTTTTCTCTTCTGGTTTAGCATTACAATAAAACTTATACCTACCATAGATGTTAGTTTTTCCCGCATATTCCACAAATCGAATATCAATGCAATTTGTCTTGAATGTTTAAATAAATGTAATGCTCCATTTCAAAGATTCAATATCGACAAAAACGAGATTCTTGTTATTCAACATAGTTCTTAAAAATCAATTCTCTCCGTCCTATACTGCCGCTATTCGCATTACTTATAAAAGTTGTCTTGATTCTGGATTAAGGAAAATCTTCATGATTATGAGAGTTTTTTTTTTTTTAGTTGCAGTGTGTGTGAGTCCAGATCGGACATTGAGAATTTTCCCAGATTCTGGATCATAAGAAGCTTTTACGATTCAAAACTAACACAAATATGCGAAATGCCGTATTTTTGCCGTAAATTAAAATGAATCAATTATCTGCGACTTCATTTATTTTTAAATTTATTTTAGTTTTTTGACCTATAGAGATTCGTGGCGTTAATCGCACGTACATTAGCGAGTGCATCGCCGTTTAAAGTTGTTTATTATTTTCATTATTAAATAAATTGCATACTCTTTTAGGAATCAGGAAAAAATTCCAACACAATTAAATTTTTTTTTTTTTTAATTACGTTAAAATTCTCCGTTGATCACAAAATGTTCAAAAATTCTGAGTGGAAATCGAACAAGATTTCTATTAACCTGTAAAATATCTCCAGGACAATTTGGAGAATGATAAATATTTTGGTAACACATCTTTGTATCCCAATGTTGTTTGGCTTATAGAACTTCAAAATCTTAACTCCAGAAAGATTCGAAGAACTTTTAATACTGCGTTTCTCCTGCTTAGGTGCCTATGATTGATATATGCTTTTTCTGACATACCAAAACTTTATTTAGCCTCATTTTTAAAGGAGGCTGTTTAATTTTATACATGGGGTTTTAGAGATCTAGATGATCAATATGTTAATGCAAATCTCATCTCAAATTTTTCTACAAAGTGGACGTATTATAGGGTAGAGAACCACTTCGGCATAATCGCCAATTTTGGGCCTATCGAGCAGAAAACTTCAAATAAATCCATGATTTCAGAGTTAACAAGTCAATTATGCGTTTGGTACGATACTCTTGAAGGGACAAACGGGAGACTCCAAACGAAGTATACGGTTTAACAGGAAAAACGGAGAAAATTTTATTTAAACGTCTGTACTACACGAAGTGCTATTGTGGAATGAACAGTTATTAATTTTCTCAAACAGATAACGGGTCGTTGCCAGGGAGGGCTTCCCAACAACGTAACAGGGGAAAGCGACGGCTGATTGCCTACTACGCCAACACCCCCTCTCAATCGGCCATTCCAAGGCCTTGGCACAGGTTCTCCATGCGCACCGCGTCCACCGGTTTGGTGAACAAATCCGCCAGTTGCTTCTCGGTACTGATATACTTCACCGCTACACGTCCATTCGCAATGTGGTCCCGGATGAAGTGGTGCTTGATATCTATATTCTTGCTTCTATTGCTTTCACAATTCTTCGCCATACCTATCGCTCCTTGATTGTCCTCAAATATTACGACCGGATCCGCAGGCCGCTTCAATTGAAGATCTTCCATCACTCCGGACAACCAGATCGCTTCCGAAACAGCAGAACCCAGCGACACATACTCCGCTTCACTCGAGGATGTAGAAACGGTAACCTGCTTTTTGCTCGACCACGATACAGGATTACCGAATACCGTGAACAGGTAGCCGCTGACTGCATTCCTGTCTTCCGCATCCGATGCCCAGTCGGCGTCAGCATATCCGACCAACGCTTCCGCTGATTCGTCGCGTACAAACTTCAGGTGCTTCGTTTTCGTCCCTTTCAAATACCGTACTATACGCTTGAGGCATTGCGAATGGTTAACTGTTGGGTTCTGTTGGTAACGGCCCAGGAATCCGACGGGGAAACACAAATCAGGCCTGGTGCACAGCATTACGTACATAATTGTGCCCAGCAGCTCACGGTACGGTTCTTGGTTGACTCACCATCACGGGAAACAACCAGGTTCTTCTCCATAGGCATCTTGGTCGGGTTACAATCCGTCATCTTAAAGCATATCAATATTTTTTCGATATTCGTTTCTTGAGAGAGTTTCATGGAATTCGTCGCACGGTCGTATTCTAGTTTCATACCTAGGAAACGACTGATCTCACCGCAGTCCGTCATCGTGAACGTCGAACTCAGGGCTTTCTTCAGATTCACAATCGTTTCAATCTTCCTCCCAGCGATGAGCGAATCGTCCACATACAGAATGATATAAATTTCGTCTCCTGGTACCACCCGCACGTAGAGACAGTAGTCGTGCAGCGATCGACGAAATCCCAAACTCAGCAACCGATCGTTGAACTTGTCGTTCCAGCACCTTGGGGATTGCTTGAGGCCGTACATGGACTTGAGTAAGCGGCACACTGTATTAGGGGACGCTGCAACACCGTCGGGAACCGCCATGTACAATTCCTCTTTCAGGTCGCCGTGCAAAAACGCCGTCTTGACGTCCATTCGATGGAAGTGGGAACACTGTTGCACTCCGACCGCGAGAACCGTCCTGATGGTGGCCAGTTTTGCAACATGAGCGAATGTCTCCTCGTAATCGACTCCAGCCTTCTGCAGGAATCCTTTCACCACCAGTCTCGCCTTATATTTGACCGTATTGCCGGCCGAATCGTCCTTCAGCCGAAACACCCATTTCGATTTCAGAGGCTTCACTCCCTTCGGACAGCTCATAAGACGCCAGACCTTGTTCTCCTCCATGGAACGTAACTCATCTCGTAGTAATCAAATAACTTACCGGGGAGCCTGCGCTCCCGTTCGCAATGCCTCGACGACAATGCACTAGGAATTTCGCGTCTTTCTGTGGGCGAAGGGAGCGCATTTTCTGGTTCTTCAAGATCATCGTCGGGTTCTGCTTCAATTCGATTGATTTCAGGTTCATCATTGGCTTCACGAATTACATCTGTGGAGGCCGGCTGGCAACGTTCCCCCTCTTGCTCGAACGGGAAGTGGACGGTCGTCTTCTTGCTGTATCACAGCGTACGGGAAGGACGACTCATCAAACTTGACATCTCGAGCAATTGTAAGCTTTCGAGCCACCGGGTCCCACACGCGGTAGCCGTTCGGAGCGTACCCAACCATGACCATCTCCTTGCTCTTCGCATCCAACTTACGCCTTTGCTGCTTCGGAATCCACACGAAACTCTTGCAGCCAAACACACGAAGTTTGTCCAGATCCGGTCTGATACCGAACCACATCTCAGCCGGGGTAACACCAGAGGGCAACGCACTTGTTGGGCTTCGGTTCATCAAGTAAACGCAGGCGAAGGCTGCTTCGGACCACAGCTGCTTCGGCACATTGGATTGGATGAGCACGGAACGGACTTTTTCAACCAAGGTTCGGTTGAACCTCTCCGCTATATCATTCTGCTGAGGCGTGTACGAAACCGTTGTCTCTAGCTGTATCCCTTTTCTCTTATAGAACTGCATCTGGTTTGTGGAACAGTACTCTCGTCCCTGGTCCAGTCATTCTTGAAATGGATTTCCCAGCATAGCCGTGACCTTTGCTTCGAATTCCTGAAATTTCTCGAATACCTCTGATTTGCGCTTCAGCAAATATATCATCGAGAAATGAGTATGGTCATCGATGAAACTGACTATGTAACGAGAACTATCCCATGCCGGCGGATCGATCGGTCTTCAAACATCAGAATGAATCCGCTCCAGCGGCCGGCTGGCCCTAGCTCGCGTTCCGTTGAACGGTTCTCGGCATTACTTGGCTTGCACACAGGCGTCGCAGAAATCAATTTTGGTTGTTTTTTCATTCATACCTTTCAGCATTCCTTTCCGGGCCATGGTCTTCAATCCGCGTTGGCCGATATGCCCCAGTCGACGATACCACAGGTTTCCAATCGATACTTCGCAGTGATTTGCTTCAACTTCCTCCAACGACAACTCAAGCTCGTACAGGCTGCCTCGAAGGTGTCCAGTGGCCAGTAACTTACCACTTTTCTTCAGAACTGCTACGTTTCCAGAGAACAAGACATCGATCCCAGCATTGGCCATCTTCCTGACAGATATCTGGTTTTCACGTAGTTCTGAAACGTAGAGCACAATCTTCAGATTGAAATGTACACCTTTGTTGCTGGTCACGTTGATTTCGCCAATCGGTTCAGCAAGCATAGCTTCTCCTTCCTTGGCGACCTTGATCTCCACGCGACTGGTCATCTTCTTCAGGGCAGCAAAAACGAACTTGTCGCCAACCAGGTGGTCACTGCACCCGGAATCAAGCTCGAAAAGGATTCGTCCAGGGTGCTTTTCCGCAATGTTTGCATCGGCCATGAAACTGATGGACTCCTTCTTCGCTGAATTGGCTTCACGCTGGCTTGACGAGGTCCAAATTCAGGTATTTCTTCCGCGACGTTCTCCAGGGCCATGACTAGGGGATCGAAAGAGTCTGGAAGCGTCAAGAAAAGCTGCGACACCAGATCACTTTCCGCCAGAGTTGCTCCGGCCGTCTTCAATTTTCTCACGAGCCCGTCGAATTCAAGTAGATGCGTCCGCATGTCCCCTTCCTTCATTCACAAACGAGCCAACTGCTTCCGTACTAACGTTTGGCTCGCGACAGACTTCTCCTTCGTGGTCGAACGATCTCGAGGCATTCGTCCGACAGGCAACCCACCAGCAACGCCTTGGAGATCCGGTCCGTTTCTTCAAACTTCTTCTTTGCAGCTTGTTCCGTTGGAGCCACCTCGGTCAGCACATCCGCGACGCCTTTGGCTTCCAGGAACAGGCGCACTCGCAGCAACGGGATGTTGCACGAAACGTCCTTCGCGGTGGTGCTCATAACCTCTTGAAGGGACAAACGGGAGACTCTAAACGAAGTATACGGTTTAACAGGAAAAACGGAGAAAAGTTTATTTAAACGTCTGTACTACACGAAGTGCTATTGTGGAATGAACAGTTATTAATTTTCACAAACAGGTAACGGGTCGTTGCCAGGGAGGGCTTCCCAACAACGTAACAGGGGAAAGCGACGGCTGATTGCCTACTACGCCAACAGATACTTTAGTTAATAAGCTTCCGAACGAAGTCAATGAGAACTCGTGATATGAAGGTTTGCACCCATTATTCCCAAATACAAAAGAAGCGCTTCGACCGAATTAATTTTTATCTTCATTCGATAGGCCGAAGTGAACTCATTGGCGTTTCAATGCGTTAGGCCGAGTTTGGCGTCAAGAAGCAGGGTAAATAAATTTGGAAGCCATCAGTAATAATAACATTCCGTTTGGTGCTAAACTGCGCTAGATTAAGAAAGACTAAGTGCGAGTTGTGCTTAATAGGCCTGAAATGGGTAGTTGACCCTAGAACAATTCTGCCGAAAAAAAATATGATTATCTATAAACGGCTATTTTTGAACGCCTTTTTTGTTTAAAGCAGACAATGGACACCCAGTAACAACATCACATAGATGAGATATTGGTAATGTTGATTTGCATGATTGAATTGTATAACTGTAGTAACGGTATAACCAACAATCAATACGAAACTATCGATTTGAAATTGGCTCACTACTTGACTAGCCTATTGGTCCCAAGCAAATCGATTAACGTATCTCATTCTAGTTGAAATTCTGGTACTACACTATGTTTGTTTTGATTCTCTATGAAGGTTTGACAGATAAAATGAGGGGTTCGTGGATATTCCCATGTTTCGAGGGGTACATCGATTAGCTTGGGACCGAAGAGAGTACCAGAGCTGAGCCAAAAAGTTGAGCACGTTTCTTCGGGACCTCACGGAGAACAAATTATAGCAGACGTAATTATTTTTCCGGTAAAAATAACTATATTGTTCAATTGTTTTCGAGATAACCCGAAACTATAGTTGATGTGACTATATATAGAGGGCAACAACTATTATAGTTCATAGTTGGCTCCTCGGTTGGCTCAACTATATTTTTCAGTAGATGAACAAACGCCAAACTTCAAAATACAACTATGCTTTAGTTGATTCAAGAAAACTATTGTTAGGAAAGCAAAATTTTACAATGTTTATTGAACAAACTGCTCTTCATTATCGACATATTAAGGAAGTTTGTTTTGCTTCTTTATCGATCTCAAAAACACAACTGCAAAATCATAAAAAAAGCGAACAAGAACATTCAACTTAGATTTGAACCGTGTTCATCTGCGTGAGAGCCAGCTATCTTATCGCCTGCTATACGCATCACAAGTTAAAAGTATGTGGATTTATGATGATCAATTGAAACCAAATTATATAAATAAATTACATTTGACTGTTGTTATAATTGATCAAAGTTATAGTTGAATTGAGTATAAGATGAACAGTTGAATCTATTAGGTAGATATGACTGAGTTGACGGTCAAATTAATGTTGGAATAACTATAGGTTTCCATGTGAAAGTAACTATAAGGATTGTTATCTTAACTTAACGAATATGTTCTCCGTGCTACTAGTTTTAGAGTTACCTCTATGGTATAACTGTAGTAACGTCTACACGGCGAATGAGAACGACCCAAATTTCAGTTTAGTTAACTCATAAATCACATAAAGTGCAAATTTACTCATCGCTGAGTTCCTGCACTTTACGAGATTATGAGTGAACTAAACTCAAATTTGTGTCGTTCTCATTCGCCGTGTAGGCCGGCGCCGGTGGTGTAGTGGTAAGCGTGACTACTTTCTAACACCCCAATGGGTCTGGGTTCAATCCCAGCCGAGGTCGGTGAGATTTTTCTGAGGCATAAAAATCTCTGGTCACGTCTTCCTTCGGAATCCTTTGGTCCCGGCCCATGTGTGTTTGAATTTGAATGGGTGCGATATCCTACGCAGGTGTGGAAGCTGCCTTCCTGCACATTCGGTTGCCGTCAATGGATGGCAATCGATGTCCGTCGGTGATTGGCACTAGATTGCGGAACAGAGACCGACGTTAAATAAAGGAAAAGAAGAAGAATTCGCCGTGTAGTTCGGTTGACGATTGGAAGAAAAGTGAACGTTTCTTCATTATTAATTAAACACCAGCCTAAGTAAGTCGCAGCTTACTGATCTTCACTTTCAAATTAGTTCGGGAATCCCGTAGAAGTTCAGGAAACCTTATAGAACTTCGCAACAAATCAACGAAATTCTTAAAAAATCAGGGAACTTGTGGAACTTCAAAGTAGTCCACCGAAACTTGTAAAAGTTCAGCTAATTAAGTAGCAATTCGGGGAACTTGGTAAACCTTCATAGAGATGCAGGGAATTCGTAGACATTCATAAAATGAGACAAGTTTTTTAATCTGGCGCCCCTTTGGATTTATCTATAAAGTCCTCGCACTCCTTCTTCTTCTTCTTCTTCTTCGTATTTCAAGCTTATTGCTTTTCGCATATTAGCTTATTGCGTGCTCTTGATTCACATACATAGTTATTGAATGAGGGCTTTCGATGCATGTACCATTTTTGCATTAGTATAATTGTGTGGCAAGTACAATCATACTCTATGCCAAGGAAGTCGAGAAATTTTCCATTCCGAAAAATTCCTAGACCGGACCGGGAATCGAACTCAGCATAGTCTTGCTATGTAGCTGCTTGAATTTTCCTAGGTGCAACATAGTGCCCAAACTTTTCCAACGTTTTTTGTTATGTTGCCAAAAACAGAATACGGTACTGGTTTTCGGGAAAGTTTTGAAGACAATTCCGAAGAAGTTTTGGGAGGGTACCAAAGATTTACATATTAGAATTCAAAGCCGATTCTGAAGAAAAAAGTTCCAAGGAGCTCATGGCGGCGGAGCCTCAACAAGGAAATATAAGTCAATATAGGAATTTGAATTGGACGACACCTGTTTCCGTTTTCGATCGAAACGGATGCTCAAGACAATTTTAATTTTTATACATAATCCGTTTAGATCGAAAGCGAAAATATGGGTATACAATTTTGCGATATCATTTTCAGTAATTTCCACTCCGAGGACGATAAATCCAACTCCCCGAAGAAGCAACAAATAAAAACCCTACCCAAAAAGCGAATCAATTCTCCAATCAACAAGAAAATTACCACGGGAAAAGGCTCCTCTCCAACTGGCGCCAAGAAAGCTCCGGTGTCCGTTCCACCGGATTCGAAAGTAATTGCCGTTTCAAAGAAATTGAAAAGCATGATTGAAGCATCGCCGGACCTACATCCGGAACCTTCGACATCCGGTTTGAAGCGAGGAGCATCAACACCAGCAACAGCAGCGCTTCCTTCAAAAAAGGAAAAACACCTGAAGAAATCCGCCTCGGATGACGCCCCTTACGAAGAGAGGAGTGAATCGAATGAATCCAGGGAAAACGTCAGTCCAACCAGTTGGACCAGAGACGAGGATAAGGTAATCCTTGAACAAATTAAAAACGGCTACAGTGCAGTAGAGGAACTTGTGGAACGGATCGGCGAAAAGATCCATGGTAGAAAGGCTTCCGAGATTCGTCTGAGATACGAGTTCTTGATGGAAATACTGAAGAAATTTCAGAAATCGGTTTAAGTGTATAGTTTTAACTTTATTTTTAACTCTTAAGATGTGGTATTTAAAAGACTCGAATGTTGATTTACAATAAATACTTAGACGAAATGTGTTCCTTGCATTGAATGTGAACATATCACATCCTAGTTTCTTCCTTGCGTAAGTTTATTTAAATCCAACCACAGAGAACCGTCATCGAAAAAAAAACATGTAAACCCATCGAACCTGTTGTCGCTCCGTCCGTAGTATGACAACGTTTGGCTTTCGAAGAGAATTTCGTGGCACGGACATCTATTGTGGATTCTCAAGTTTGTAAGCTTTATTGTTCCAACTAAAAATCTAGAAGCTAAAAGTACAGTGCTGCTCAGACTCTGCTAGGCAAAATGCAAATTTGCAATTTTATGACATCTGAATTGTTTAACCATTTCACACAATCTTCTCCACCCACAATCGAATGCAGACTAGATAGACGACATACGCGTGCATACTATTAATTGCTGATGCTTCAATCAATTCATCTATCCTTCTTCTCTCCATTTTTGAGCCGCTCCAACCGTTGTAGCAAAGTCGGGTGCGAATGATTCCAAGCCGAGTACATCCAATCGTACACCGGGAAACCAAGATTGTCAATGTGCAGCTTGACCAGAGCTTTGCCCAACTCCTTTGAGTATCCGAGCCCGTTGGCAAAGTCATCCGCTTGGTACTCGAAACGGCGCGACAGAATAGTCATGGCGAAGTTAATCAGCGTATTGTAAGGTGCGAGGACATACATGACAATCACCAGGAAACCGATCAGAATGGGTTGAACGTTTGGTGAAAAGCCAACCGCTTGGTACAGTGGAGAATATTTGAACAGCTGCGAGAAGACCATGAAGATCAAAAACATCTGCACCTGCATGATGACAATGTTCTTCCTAATGTGACCAAGCTTCCAGTGTCCCAGTTCATGGGCGAGAACCGCCAAAACTTCCTTATTCTCACAGCCTTTTCCTTTTTCGTCTTCGGCAAGAGTGGAATCGTCCGGGAGTCCCTTGTTCAAGAGCAGAGTGTCGAAAAGCACGATTCGCTTTGCTCCAAAAAGACCGGTAAAATATGCATTACTGTGGGCTGATCGTTTCGAACCCTCCACAACGAACAGTTTTCCAAGCGGAAACTTGAGCGTTGCTGCAAGCTGCTCGATGCTGGTCTTAAGTTCCCCATCCTCCAGTGGGCGAAACTTGTCAAACAAGGGAGCGATGTAAACCGGGTAAATTGTAATCAATACCAAAGAAACAATTCCCACGAAAGCCCACAGCCAGATGAAGAAGTAATCGCCACCGATCTGGACAATGTAAACGATTGCTGCCACGATGGGAATCGACAGAACTTGACCCACCAAAAACGATTTGATCTGATCCTTTACGAAGAATCCGGGAGTCTGCTTGTTGAATCCATGCTTTTCTTCCAGGATGAACGTTCCATAAATTTTAAACGGCATATCCTTGAACGTCCCAATGAGGTTGATCAAGATCAGGAACACAATGCTAACATGAATCTCGTTTCCGGGATTCATTCCAACCTTCCCTGTAACATCCAACGCTCTTGACCAGATCAACGCCACGAAACCACTGTACAGTTCAATCGTAGCGATTCCGATGTCGCATACCAACAGTTTGAACACCTCAAAGTTTGCTTTATCCAGTCCGTACAGCCGGGCTTTCTCGAAGGTTTCCTTTTTCATCACATCGCGCAACTCTTCCGGTACATTTTTGCTAGATTCGTAGATATAAATCTGCCGCCGCGTTAGATACAAATTGACCATATTTTCCAGAAACAGGAAAATCAGAATCGAGTAGAGCGTGAGCTCACTTTTAGACAGGTTCTCGAACATATTGCCTGCAAATTAAAAAAAAAAACTTTTTTAATTATAAAGTCGACGGAATCGTAAAGATGTCTACCGTTGTTCGTAGAACCAGTCGCGTTTAGTGAAAATCCTGCTTCTATTGAACCGTGTACGAACGACGGAACGGAAAAAACTAGGAACACGTAAGTGGAAAAATCGGCTTCCCTTTTCTCTTGCCGACGACGAAAATGCACTTGACTGCTCCTAAAATGCAATCGCTAACTGACAGTGATATGCTGATTGCTGATATGCATCAGCCGCGATGTTTTATTCTCTATTACACGGAAACTGTCATATACTCTTCGATGATTAAAATTTAAGCTACACGGAAAGAAACAACTCAAAATTAAGTCTTTTGTACTCATTTTATTGCGGATTTCACACCTGATTAGACTCCTGCGCTAAAAATAAGTACACAGTAATATCAACAATCAATACGAAACTAACGGTTTTAAATTGGCTCACCACTTTAGTAGCCTATTGGGCCAAGCAAACGATTAAAGTACCCTATTCTAGTCGAAATTCTAGTACTACACAATGTTTGTTTTGATTCGCTATGAAAGTTTGACAGATAAAATAAGGGATTATTGGTTTTTCCTATGTTTCGAGGGGTGAATCGATTAGCTTGGGACCGAAGAGAGTACCAGAGCTGAGCCAAAAAGTTGAGCACGTTATTTCGGGACCTTCTAGTCTTAGAGTTACCTCTATGGTAATATTTTCGCACTGGTCATAAAAGTTAAATATGGAGCTTCTTAATGCTTTCTAAAGCTTTAATTCAGCAGTGTAGCTTGCTAGTAATGTTCTAAAGCTGTTACTGTTTTCAAATAAGTGGATTTTTAAATTTTCTGGGCTGTGCGAAAATATTACTGTGCAATTATTTTTTGCTTGGTGCAAAATGCGCAATAACAGCTACACTAAAAAAATATTAGTAAATTAAGATAGAATAAATATTGCTGATTGCGTCTTAAACTGGACTGCTCCAAAAAGGCATAAAGTATGATAAAAGTGCACGTTTCCATAAAATCGTGTTGGTGTCTCCGGAGCACTGCAACATAAGGAATAAGTGCACTGAAAACATCAAAATGATGAGCATGAGCATGAGCATGATTGACCGCCCTCGGTTGCTACTCTGTTATTGCCAGACCAGCTGTAATTACACAGAGAACCAATAGACGATGCTTGGGACTAGCAATCATCCTCAATGTGTAAAAACTGGTGATCTCAAACTATGCAATACCAGCGCTGGCCGCGCCTGAACACAGGTCAAGAAAGGAAGGGGTAGCAATGTGTTGACGTGACACTTGCTTTGATGGAAGCCGAGAACACCTCTGCACTTCCACGAGGAATCACTGGGATATTGGGTAATAGCAACCGGTGAACACTCGTGTTTATTTCAGTTACCGTGTGGACGTAATTTGTGATGAGCCCCGGTCCCTTTCAAATTGTATCATTATTTATGTACGGTCCATATATTTTAAATGACGTTTCACATTCATCTAGTGATGGCCGATTTTCATTCGAATTATCGATTAATCGATTAACGAACCGAAAAGTAAAATATTTGCAATCGGTTATATCATGCCGATATAAGCATTAACTTCTCCAGAGGATCATCACCGATCGTTTCAAACATGTGCTGCACTCTCATTGGTGGAAAAATGCTAGCACAGCGATCAAAAAAAAAATCGATTAGTTGTTAATCGAGTAATTAAAAAATTTGTTTATTTGTTTATTTGTTATGGTTGCATCAACAGACTAGAAATAGTCCCAATGATGTGTTGTAAAAAATACAGATTATACAGACGACATACATATACTACAGTTACTACAGTTACAAACGAAAATAACTTGGAAAGCATTGTCAAGTTACTAAAAATTTATAAGTCTTAAATTTTACACTTAGCTGTTGGGTATCAAGCGCCTTCGGTCAGCAAAAAAGGCAGAGAATCTTCGGCGAAGCATATTCCGTGTCAAGTGGAAATCGAACATCGACGCTACTCGGTTGAACACTAGCTGCAAGCCGTAAATAGCGCTCCCTATGCTATAATTAGTTCGAAGAAGTGGAAGTCTCAGCATAAGACTGTTGCGTAGTGATCGAGGTTGAACATTAATGTTCACTTGTTGCAGAATTGCTTCGCAGTCAATTCTTCCTTGCAGAGTATCGGCGACGGTTAAGGCTCTGAAAACATCTCTTCGGATACGTAAGGGCTCGATATTGATCAATTGGCAGCGATTCTCGTAGCTTGGAAGACGAAGTGGGTATGTCCAAGGCAGCTTACGGAGCGCGAAGCGAAGAAAACGTCGTTGAACAGATTCAATTCGCTCGGCCCCATTATTGTAGTTCGGGCTCCAGACAGCAGAGCAGTATTCCAACGTAGATCGTACGAGAGAGCAATAGAGCGATTTCAAGCAGTAAATGTCCGTGAAGTTCTTAGTAATCTTGAAGACAAAGCCAAGCGTTCTGGACGCTTTGTCGACGACATACGATATATGGTGTGAGTATGTCAGCTTTGAGTCTAGAAAAACGCCTAAGTCTTTCACGCAGTGCACCCGTTCGATAGTCGTGCCTAGTAGTTTGTAGTTGAAAATAATCGGTTGTTTCTTGCGTGAGAAAGTAATAACTGTACACTTAGCTGGGTTGACCACCAGTCGGTTTAGACTACACCAGTCAGCAAAGATGTCAATCTGATTTTGGAGAGAACGGCAGTCGGCGAGTGAGCTGATGCGCAGAAAAACTTTCAGATCGTCTGCAAACGATAATCGTGGCTCTGTGATAACATGGTGAACGTCGTCGAAGTAGAGGAGAAATACCAATGGTCCCAGATGGCTGCCCTGAGGTATACCGGACTTTGCGCAGAAGCTTGCTGAGCGACAAGTACCCAAAGTTACTGTCAATTGGCGCTCCGTGAGGTATGAACGAAACCATCTCAAAAGATTTCCACCGATCCCTAGTCTATCAAGCTTAGCGATCGCAATTTCGTGGTTCAGCTTATCGAAGGCTGCCGTAAGATCTGTGTAGATAACGTCCGTTTGGGTCCGAGCAATCAAACTGTCTGTGATGTAAGACGTTAGGCACAGCAGGTTCGTAGTTGTGGAACGCCCAGTTATGAATCCGTGTTGATCTGTACTTAGATATTGCCTGCAATGCGCATTTAGGGACTCTATGACAACCAATTCAAAAAGTTTTGATACAGCACTCAGCGATGTGATTCCTCGGTAGTTGTTTACGTCGCGTTTGCTTCCCTTTTTATGAACAGGAAACATATCCGCAGTCTTCCAGCAAGACGGAAAGATGCCGCTGGAAAGAGAGAGCTGGAATATGCGGCGCAGTGGATCTAAAAGACAAGTGATGTTCTTTTTAAGAATAATCGACGGAACACCATCGGGTCCAGCCTTAGTTGAAGTCTTAAGTTTAGATGCTGCTCTAGAAATCGTATCTGTAGTGGCTTCGACCATGCTGAGCGTTTGGTTGATCAAAGGAACATTACTGGCCGCGGAAGTAATGATATTAGCGGAGAGTTGCTCGGCTACAAACACACTAGCAAATTTGGCTGAGAACAGGTTGCAAATGTCTTGTTGATTTCCAGCAGTTTCACCATTAAAAATCATGGAAGAGGGTAAGCCGACTTCCCTGCGTTGCTCATTTACGAAGTTCCAGAAGGATTTCGGGTGTGATTTTAGCCGCCGTTGAATCCTCCTTTGATAGCGTTGAAAACAGAGACGACTTAACCGCTTATACTCGTGGTTGAGTCTGACATAGTAGCATTTCAGTGGCAGTGTGCGGAGTTTAGTAAATCTTCACCCACATTTGTTCAACCCTGTTCCAGGAATCGTCCTCGATAACTTCTGCTTTCAGCTTGGAATTAACTGCGATAAGGACGCCTCCCCCAGTAGTTTTCCTACTATTATTCGTGTTTCGATCGCAGCGAAATATTTCGTAGCCAGCACCAAAGACATAGTTTGAAATGGTTCGATAATTGAGCCATGTTTCGGTCAAAACTAAAATGTCGTAGCAGTGATCCATGACGGCCAGATGATAATCTTCCACGAGGCCGTTCATACCACCAACGTTCTGATAGTAAATCGTTATGTCCGACCTCCGCTGTTCGGGAACAACGGAAGGTTCAGCGTGTAGTTGCATTTGGGAGCTGGTAGATGTCACTTGACGGAGGAAGGATGTTCGAGTAGGGTCGCTGGAAACCAAGATATTTTCAGGCGATAATATATTCGTCGGTTGATCATACTTGCCAATAACAGGAATGTGGAAGACCCCTTCTCCCATCTCAAACGCAGGGCCGGGACGACTGCTGGTTGCTGGCAGGAGGGGCTCGACTGCGATGAGTGGAATAGGGGCTTCCTCAGGGCGGACGGCAAGAATGCGTCCCGGAGTGCAGTTGACTGTGGTGGCTCCATGTTGCCGACTGGCAGATGTTTGAGGTGAGTTGAAGGCACTGGAATTATGATCATCATCAGGCAGTGAAAGTTCGCTAGTAAGTGTGTACTTGCCTAATATACCAAGCTGGGAGACCCTCAATCCACATCTAAACTCAGGGCCAGGACGACTTGGATGAACGCTGGCTGCAATAGGCGCGACTGATTTAGAGGAACTGGGGACTCCCAAAATGCTTTCTACGTTGCGTCCTGGTTGAGAAGTAATTTGCCTCAATAGATTTTCAGAGGGCATCACCGAAAATTCGCTTTGGACCGGGGTCAGAATAACCTGAGTATGGGAGAACTCATCACGCAACGATAAACTTAAATCACAGAGGAACTTGCCTATGCAAGCATGGTGGAAGACCCCCTTTCCACCACCAACTACAGGGCCGAGACGACTATGTTGAACGAAGGCGGCGGTAGGCGGGACTGTGTTGGGGCGATCGGGGGCTTCCATCAGACTTTCTACGGTGCGTCTCGGGGGCATTGTTGATTCGTCAGATGAGGGGATTAAGGGGTGACTGTTATACTGGGTGTACCTAAAGGGGCTGGCATATCGAGAGGTGCTGGTGTCCCAAACGGTGTGCCCGTTGGAGAGCCACCCGGAATAGTCTCTGGAACAGCAGGGAGTGCTTGGATATCAGGAGGTAGCCACACATTGTTTTTCGCCTGAGTATCCTCGAATTCTCTGTATACAATCCCCTGTGGCCAAGTTTCAGGGTTCAAAGCGTTCTCTTTTAGTTTCATTGGAATGCCGACCTTGTA